GCCTTTAAAGAAATATTCATTTTCAGAGACTTATAAGTTAATGTTCCTTGCTTCTTTGTTTCATAAATTTGGGAGTTGATATCTCTAATGGTATATTTTCCAGCATGTTAATATAAATATTTTGTGTATATCTTCAGAATTTCACAAGATGCGATATTAATATAGTGAAGGAAAGAGAGAGAGAGAGAGAGAGAGAGAGAGAGAGAAAGAGAAATGGAAGAGCCTCGTGCAAGGAAGAGGGGCCTTTGTTTTGCAAAGGGGCAAAGGGCAGTATTATAAAAAAAATTGTTGAAATAAAATATTGTGCTTTTCCTAAAGACTAATTGTAAAAATCAAAATTTCAATTAATGGCCCAATTCTTCTTTTTAAGGCTAAACTGGAAATATGAAGGTCTTCTAGACAACATCTGATACTTTGGCAAACTGGACTTTAATTTAGAGCCAGGGGATGGGAGAATAAAGGATCCCCTATAAAAATCTAAATCAGAAAATTTATTCTCTTCCCTCTCATCAACTCAAGCGATGGATCTATCCCGAATATGTTTCATAAAATAGTGCTCAAAGACTAAAACAAATAAAGTTTAATAAACATGCACCTCCCTAGCACAACATATGGCAACTAGGAAAGGCACCCGCAGCAATGTGAGAGAACACTCCTGCCTGTCTTCTTTTTTCAATAACGATATTTATTAAATGGCTATCTCTATTGCAGACTCACTCTCTGCGAGTAAAGATAAAGAAGACAAGTGGGGAGCAGGTCCACGAAAGGAACACAAGGTCTGCAGACAAAAAGTGACAGAGGAAATACACCTCTACTTGAGATTTTGTTGATAGTCTTTGAAGAGAAACACATGAAAGTATAAAATCACAGAATCCTGGACTTTTAGAGATGGGTGATGGCTTAGATATGGAATGGAAAAAGCCCTGGAGTGGGAGTCTGGAGGTGCTGGTCAGATACTAATGAGCTAGGTGGTCAGAATCAGTCCCTTCATCTCTCTGGACCTTGCTGTCCTCATCTTGGAGGGGAATGAGAGGTTAGGAAAGGAGAGGTGCTAACATTGAGTTAACACTGCTGGTCAGGTACTGTGCTAAACACGTTACAGATGCTATCTCTTTTAATGTTCACAATAATCCCACAAAGCAAACACTTATGCACGTTTTAGAGATGAGAAAACCCCCGGTGTCTGTCAATTCCCAACCCCCTCTGCGGTGCCATGATTGATTCCCTATAATGGGGAAGTGAGATTACAGGCTCTCCATGGTTTTTCTGGTAACTCGTCTCTGGACCCTTCATTCTATAAATGATAAGTCTGGAGCCTAGAGAGGTTGCCAGCTCACTCGGGTAGTAATCGGCAGAGGGTGATTACAACAGGCTTTTGTTTTCTTCTATTCATTCATTTTATTTTATTTTATTTCAGCATATTATGGGGGTACAGATGTTTAGGTTATGTATGTTGCCCTTGCCTCCCCCCCAAGTCCGAGTTTCAAATATGTCCATCCTTCGGGTGGTGTGCATTGCATTCTTTGTGTATACATATACCCGTCCCCTCCTCCCTCCTCTCCCCTTCCCCCTCCCCCCTGCCCAACATCCAATAGATGTTATTCTTATATGTGCACTTATGTGTTCATCAGTTAATACCAATTTGATGGTGAGTACAAGTGGATACTGCTCTTTTGGTGCCTCATTTTGGATAATGGGCTTAAGTTTAATCCAAGAAAGTATAAGAGGTGCTAGATCACTGTCGTTTCTTATGATTGAGTAATATTCCATTGTAAACATATACCAAATTTTGATAATCCACTCATGGATTGACGGGCACTTGGGTTGTTTCCACATTCTTGCAATAGTGAATTGTGCTGCCGTAAACATTCGGGTGCAGATGTCTTTATCGTAGAATGTTTTGTGGTCTTTTGGGTAGATGCCTAATAGTGCTATTGCTGGATCGAATGGTATTTCTATTTTTAGCTCTCTGAGGTATCACCAAATTCTTTTCTACAGAGGTTACACTAATTTGCAGTCCCACCAGCACTGTAGAAGTGTTCCTGTCTCTCCACATCCTCGCCAGCATTTGTTGTTTTGTGGTTTTTTGATAGAGGCCAATCTCACCAGGGTTAGGTGATATCTCATTGTGGTTTTGATTTGCATTTCTCTAATGATTAGAGATGTTGAGCATTTTTTTATATGTTTGCTGGCCATTATTCTGTCTTCTTTTGAAAAGTTTCTGTTTATTTCCTTTGCCCATTTGTTGATGGGGTTGTTTGATTTTTTCTTGTTGATTTTTTTGAGTTCTAGATAGATTCTGGTTATCAGCCCCTTATCAGATGTGTAGAGAGCAAATATTTTTTCCCATTCTGTGGGCTGTCTATTCACTTTAATGATAGTTTCCTTAGCAGTGCAGAAGCTTTTTAATTTGATTAGATCCCACTTATTTATTTTTGTTGCTGCGGCGATTGCTTTGGGGGTCTTCTTCAAGAATTCCTTGCCTAGGCCGATGTCTGAAAGGGTCTTCCCAACCTCTTCATTTAGAATTCTTAAGGTTTCATGCCTTAGGTTTAAGTCTGTTATCCATCTTGAATTGATTTTTGTGAGAGGTGAGAGGTGGGGGTCTAGTTTCAATCTTCTGCATGTAGCTATCCAGTTTTCCCAGCACCATTTATTGAAAAGAGATTCTTTTCCCCAGTGTATGTTTTCAGGAAAGGTAGAAAATAATTGGATGACTGACAACACCATACACTCTGACTTTATTATTAGGTGATGATGTCAAAATGATAACTTAGATCTCCTTTCACTTCAGTTTGTTGAATTATTTTTAATTTATAGAGCTTGGCATGTCCAGGAGGGAGCCTTGGGTAAGACTGACTCCCAGGGAAGTAGAATTTTCTCACAATGATCAAATTCTTAGTTATTTAACAAATATGTCCAAGAACCTACCATGTAAAAGATTGAGCTAGAGTTTCTAGCCCTTATTTAACCTCTTAGAAATGTCCCAGTCTAGTTGCCTATTTAAAATGAACTGCCCCAAATATTCCTTCCTTAAAGAAAGAGAACTTTTCCTTTAGAGATTCTAGTTTTTGGCAAGGTTTTCATACATTATCTGCCTGAATGGAGAAAGCAGAAGTACAGGTGATCCAAAAATAGTTTCTATGTCATTTTTGAATCAATTCTTTCATTTTTTCCACAGCAAAAAATACTTTCCTAATTAATCCAAATACTGTTAATGCCTTTTATTGTTTCCAGTACATTAACATCATGATTGATTGTCCTGCTAACCTTGTGAAGAAGACAGAGCATATGTTATGCTATCCATTGTGCTTATGACAAAACTCAGAAGTGAAAAAAATGGGACAAATCATTATTCAAGGATCATTGAGCCTAATAACAGGGGGTTGACACCCCTTCCCTCCTCTCCTCCTCTCCACTCCCCTCCTTTCCTATCCCCTCATCCCTTCATCCATCTCCTCCTCCCACTCCTCCTCCCTCCTCCTCTCCTCCCCTCCCCTCCTTTCCTCTCCTCTCCTCTCCCCTCAGTGATTGGCATCCTGTCCAATTTAGGCTGATGAATTTAAAACCATGCCCACATTTAGACGTACAGAGTAGAGGAAACTCTGGCATGATGGCTTGAAAGTCCTCATTTGCTGTGCAAATCTAAGCATTGACAGGCTACTACTGTTATTCCTGCACAAATACCTTATTTAAAGAAATTAGAGCTAACGAAGGGCCAGTAGATTGACTATTCTGGTCAGTGGCCCAAATTTCCTAACTCTAGTCCCTGCTTTTGCATTCACCAGCATCCTTAAACAGTGACAAAAAATATGGCACCCGAGTCAAGTGCATTTCTGAATTGCCTTTGGCCAAAGACTTAAATGATAGAGAAATCCAGTGTTGCAAATATTACATAAACAGAATCCCAACAACAGTGACATGGAATACTACAGTCACCAGAGATCTCTAGGCTTCCAGATCAAAATATAAGCAAAATGATTATCCCATTAGGCCCAACTTATGACCTAGAATTTCATTTTGTCATATACATAAGTTGCTCCAGAGATCTGCAAGATTTTATAGAGACTGAATATGAACAAAAATTGGCTTGCTACTAAGACTATAAATAAATATATCTTTAGGGTGTTTGACTAAAGTTTAGATAATTTAATAGATTGGACAAGGTTTTTAAACGTTTGTCTCTTAAAGGGAATATAAGGCCAGACGTAATATTTGTAGAGCTTTTCATTCATGGGAATCTTGTCGCTGTTTCAAAAAGGCAATGGGTAGTCTGTTTTGTTTGGTTTTAATTGTTTTTCTATGCCCACCAAAAAAGTAGGAGAATAAAAAAAGAAAAGAAACAAGAAACTAGTGAAACTTTCAAGTGAATAATTTATTAAAGATTTTTTCTCTCTATCTCTGTCTGTTATAGTCATAAGGGAAATTTTCCTCATGACCTCAAGCTGTGGGTTTCTTATTATCATGTTTAGCATTCCACTGTGTGACAGAACAGATATTAGAAACCGTATTTTCTAATAAAGCATCTCTTTTGATTTTGGTACAGAAGTGGCAATATGGCCTATGAAATATTGGCATAAAATTCTGAATTCTGGTGATTTACTTAAAATCCTTTTCTATTTATTTTTATCATCTCAGTTATCTCGTATTCAGAAGTGTGCTTACATAATAGAAAAGCACAAAGCATTTGTATTTGAAGGCAAACACAAAACATCCTTGTGTTTATTTAATCGCTAAATGTCTGGAGAAGGGAAGAAAACAGATTTGCATAGAGTCAAAAATGGACATAAGTGTAACCACCCTAAGAATGTATTTATTTTTATCAACTTTAATTGTTATTTCATTAAAAAACAACTTTAGAGAACAAATCGTGTTAGCCATGTGTTGAAAAGAATCTTTTTTTTAAATTAAGCTCTACAACTCAATTGTTTCTCTGATTTTTCTTTTTAACTTTTAATGTCTCTAACATTGAATTTTCTAAATTTCTCTTTTCTTAATAGACTGGAAGGAAAGAAAAAGGAGATCCTCTAAACATTGCAATTGATAAGATGACCAAGAAAACAAGAGATCTAAGGAGACAGGTACTGTTTTTTGTTTTTATTTTAAGTGCATAGTATTTAGCAGTGGTTTCAATAATGTCCTTTTCCAGGGTGCCTTCTTAGAGCTGCTGTTCAGGTTGTTATTCTTAATAACATCTTCATATGCGTAGAAACATTTTATCAGCAAGGTAGAGATTACTGGGTGGAGAGATGTGCCAGCTGCAAGGCTCATAAAGGAAACAACCCCCGATGGGACGGCCTCTCACTTCCCAGACACACTCTGCCTAGGTAGAAACTTCATGAATTCACTACCTTCTACATCTGATTTTTAGTATTCCAAATCCAGGTGTGCCAAGAGACTGTCTCTGATCTTTTCTGGTTCTTACTTAATCAAACTCCCAAGGAATTCAGTGATAAACCAGAATGCTAATGATTAATGAGAAAATATAACTCTTAATCTGGAGGGCTGACTAAGAGCTTTGTCCTAGTGTATTTCTTTGGGAACATAATTCTAAGGAAGTTTGCTGATCACATGGTTGTTTGGGAGGCAGGGAATTAAAACAAGAAGAGTTTGTTGAATGATTTAAATGGCTGATGGCATCATTAGTTTCATGGGTCTATTTTTCTTGGGGAGAGGGTTAATCTCTGGCCATACCAATGTATGAACACTGGTAAATGTTTCCTTGGAACCCTTATTTTATGTTTCTATGATGAATTATGCTTTCTTTGGTAGTGTTCTTTCTCTAGAAGAGATTATATCATCTATTAAGTTATAATAAAACCCTGTCTTCATGATTTCTGCCCGGGAGCCTCCTGTCTCCTACTAGTAGCTTTTGCATATGTCCATCTCATTCACTAAGTATTGACTGTGTTAATCAGCTAGAACCAACCACTCCCATGGCAGCACCTGCTGTACTTTCTGCAGCTAGAAAAGGTGGATTAGCATGGCTAAATGTAGCATTGGCTCCTACGTCATGTTACGCACAGACAAGGTTTGCAGGGTGCCTGGGCAAGAATGCCCAGGAAGCATCTTAGAAACGGTTTGAATGAGAGGAACACACCATTTCTCATTACTGCTGGGGCCTCCTGGGCTCTCTTCAGGATATCACCTGAAGGCGTAGATACATTTGAGCTTCAGAAGACATCACAATTATTTCTGGAATATGAAGACTTTAGTTTGACTCCCTAGCTAACAAGCCTTTTGGGAAAAACACTTTCTTTTCCTTTTACCTTGAAATAAGGCAGGATAAAATATTTTCTTCTTATATATTAGTAACACCGAATAAATATATGGCCAAGTCTGCCTCTCCTTGCTGTCCTAGACTGTCTGTCATATCCCTGTTTGATATTAATAGTAGGAATTGAAATGGAGGTTAATGGAAAACATTGAGTCAGATACCTGGGTTTTAGAGTTAGATCTCCCACTAAAGTGTCAATGTGACTGTAGGTCCTTCATTTCTTGGTCTCCTTTTCTTATCTATAAAAGTAAGGAGCCAAAAACTAGGTCTCTGAGCTCTTTTGTGAGATATATAAGGTTGTATGAGTCCAAGGAAAATTCTCATTCATTTCCTATGCCAGAGGTCCTAATGCTTGATAATCACAGATTTTAAAAGCGGTGGGAGGACATCTCCAGGGTTTGCCTTTGGTGAGATTGTCATGTAAAATTCATGAGCTGAATTTCCCACCTCCCTGATCTCTTGGTCTCAGTAGAGATTACTTTTTTTATATATATCCAAGAGGAACCAGCACCCTCAGCTCTCTCCAAATCTCTCCAATCAGACCTATCATAGTAGTGGTTTTTTTTGTTTGTTTGTTTGTTAGGTCTTATTAGAAAGTAATGGACAACATAATTTTTACTTTGGTATTAAAATTCCCAGAAAGTGGTTGATTCTTCTTACGAGAAGGCAGTGGTAAAATTCGAATTCATGGTGAAATTTTAAATGCTTAGGTGACAAACTCCTTGGAGAGTTTCCTTTAGGATGGAAAGTGAAGAGTATGTCTTTCCATGAAATTATTTCATGCATGTGATTTTTTTCCTACCTTTCCCCAAAATACAGAGGAATAAGGATAAAAGGAGAATTGTTTTATAGTATTAAGATCCAACAGTTATGGTATAATTTCACACCATACCCATGAATTTGGTTGAAACTTCTTTCTCTTCTCCAATCTGCCTTTCTGAAACTAAGATGGTCCCCATCTGTCATTTTCATCCTTTCCCATATGTTAGGATATTTTTGTCTTTCTTCCCATCTCTTCTGTCTCTCCATGTACACCTGTAGTGGTACAAAAGCTTCTCCAATCTAAATTGTAGCTACCTAGCACTTGTGCAGATGGAACATGCAATGACAAATTTGCTTGGCTCAGGTAGGACATCAGCTCAGATTTAGTTATCCAGTTAATTGTATTAACAAGGTTTTGCCTAGTTCTCTGCTAGGCCCTCTGCAATAGGGGCCCAGTGAATGCTCATGGCTCAAATGAATGTTGCCCTACTGCTGAGATACTTTCTGTTCTTTTAATTAGAGATAAGCCTTTGCTAGAGCAGATGCTAAATGAGAACTCTTAATTACCACATCCACTCCCTGTACCCATGGATTTCTTTGTACAATATTTAGAGAAATCAAATCTCATAGGGGAAAGAAGTGAAATCAAAGATTTTTAGTTAAAAAAAAAAAAAAGATTTCTAGCGACTTTCATGATTTCCCATTCTTTCAATTTCCTGTCTCCTCCTCATATCCCTATGTTTGGGCAGTGCACTTCTGAAGGGTGATCCTGGAGCCTTGCAAAGTTCCAGTCAACAAAATTAAAAGAAATAAAATCAATCGTGATCATTATCTTGGACTTTCCTAATGAAAGAAAGTGGAATTAGACTTGCAGACGCTTAAAAAAATAAGGATTTCATTGAATAAAAAGGATTTCTATTTAAGTGGAATTTTCAAGTAAGTAGAACCCCTCTCTTGAGGCAACATATCCTAAGAAACTGAGGAGTCATAAATTGTGAAAAAGGTCATAGGAACCCAAGCGTATTATTTAAAACTGATTGACATGAATCCATCTTGCCAATTAAACCTATGACGGGGGGCAGTAGTAGAGCAGAATCCTCTTAGGACCGTTTTGTTTGGAATTAAAAATGGATTTTGGGGAACGTAACCACCAGCCTTAAGCATTACGTTCCAATTTTAGAGCTGTGGGCACAGTAGGCCCCATGTCTGAGCTATTGTCATTCTGAATCTGAGCTACAGTGATTCCGGAATCAGACCATTGTGGAAACAATGGGCAAAACACGTCCCAAAACATGAATGGTTTGTTCAAAGACTGATTTATCAAGACCCTGTCTCCAGAGTGGACTACAGAGAAATCTTCCAAGATTAATAAGAAACAATTACAGCTAAAGAGTTTCCTCAGCTGCCCCCACTTTGTGACCCAATTCCTTATATAAAAACTATGGCTGAAGGTGGACAGCTATTAGGGAGAGCTTGCAAAATCCACCATCCACAAAATGCAAACTGAATGATAGCCGACTTGCATTGAGTCACTGAGTCCTTGCAAGGTGCCTGGAACTCTTCTAAGTTCACTCCATGAATTGACCATGTTTAATCCACACACCAATTCTGTAGGATAGAAAGATTGTCACCATGCCCATTGTACAGATAAGGATGTGAAATAAAGTAATGCACCCATGGCCATACAGGATGCGGATGTGTGGAGGCTCCAGACCAGGCAGGCTGGCTGTAGGGTCTTTGCTCATAACTTTTGCTCCATCCTGCCTCTCCACAGAACCAGCTTATGCAAGTGAGTCACCCATATGCTGATCTACTCTAGAGGATGCATGTGGGGAAGACAGAGGGTTCCCATGGAGATGGAGAGGTGCTGTGTGGTTTTCAGCAGTACCTCCACCACTCCAGGATTTGGAATGGGTGACATGTATGCACTGTGGACAGAAAAAAAAAAGTCTGTGGTAAATGTCAAAAACGTGGTCCTTGTCTGTGATATGTTATCATCTCTTGGGTCTCCAGCTGTTATGGTCCACTGGATCCTCTTTTAAAAAAGTGCTATTATGTTTAGGTATCTGGCTTGTCAAAGCATGACTTATAGACTTTCTAAAACATTTACAGAAAAAGGAAAATTACAGAAAAAAGGAATGTTAAGGCATTCAATTGTTTTTCTCACATCTGCCCATGATGGGGCCAATTATTTTTAAATTCATTGTAAGAAAACATTTATATCTGGATTCAAATCTGTTTTTCTTCATAAGGATATGAGACTATCTATATGATGACAACAAAAAATACATGGAATACTGAGTTTCCCCAAATGTTGAAGTGTGTATTCTTTACACAGAAACCCTATGTCGGTGCTAATAATCCCTGGGGTTTGTTCCCTAGGTCACATTTGGGAACAAGTGTGGAGATCAGAAAATGATCATGTAGCAAATGGGATTTGAAATATAGAACAAGAGAAACTTAGAGACAACTGAACAGAAATGAGATCAAAAACACCAGAAATCAGAATCAAAAAGGCCAAGAGGAACAGAGCAAAATAGGTAGGAGAGGGTTTAATAACTCAGTGAAAGGCCATCCTTTGGACATGACCCTTGATCATGGGATATGTATTCAAGCCACCTCTACCTTAGGAAAATCCTGATAAAATAACCCTAAATATCATACCACAACATACTTATTTATCTCCTAGAAAACCCTCATCAGGCCAAGTCCGAAGTACGTCATTTCATCAATTTAAAACAGTTCTTGAAATATCACGAAGGGCAAGCTCTTCCCTTGTCAAGGCACTGTTCAATTCAAGCAGTGGCTTAATTTATTTCTGTATGGTTGATTGTTCACACATTGGCTTGACCTCTTTCTTGCTAGCAAGTCTAGATCACACGAAGAATCTAGTAGCTTGATCAACATTGATTACTCAAATAGCCCACTCTACTGAACAGAGAGATAGATAACGTAAGTATGAACAGGGAAACTCAATTAAGTGGAAGCTTCACCTACTGATGTGTTCTTTTCTGCTAATTTCTGTAGGCTCTGGTGGTCTAG